TTGTTGTACCTTGTACTCATTGTTAGTTGTGTTCAATGATTCATCTGAGTTTTATCTTTGTGTRATGATGTCGTCTTCTTATAGACGAAGAAAACACACGTGGGCGTGGCGTTCTCTTAAAATTATGTTAAATAATATTGAATACTGTAAAGAATAATATACACATACTTTTATTCAAAAAGAATATGTTGATTAAATGATTTATTTTGTAGAAGTTTCTGTCACATAATCGATCGCAACACATTAATAAAAATTCAAAATTCAATAACTTAACTACTTTTTTGATACACAATTTTTAAATCTATTAGATCCAGCGACATCTGTCGTTTACTACGGTAGTAATTTAATAACTATTCAAAGATATGTGTAGTAATTCGTTAGTTTTAAAATCCCTAGGGCTCTGAAATTTAAAAATTGTTTTACGTATTAACTTTCAGTTTTACCAATAATCGGTATAATATAACAATTTTTAACTAATAAACGATTGCGTTTTAACTATGACTATCACAAACATGTAGTGTGTATGAGTGTACAACAGCAGTGTAATAGTGTAGTTATATAAATACTTGATTTAATGCTATTATACGGTTAGGTTTAGATGATATTTTTGCTAAGAAACTACAATTACTGAAATATTATTGGGTATACCTAATATTTACMTACATCAAATCTACCTACTAGAAAAACTTCTGTCATGATTTTTGTTATAGTTTCATTAATTAAGTACTGATATTCCAAATAAAGAATTAGTTTATAAAAACAATAAAAATCCAACTCTATATATTTAGCAATAAACATTGATAAMTTAATGTAAAAATTAAACTTACAATAAATTGATTTATTAATTCGTATGATACTTTAATTACGGCCAACATCAAAATGGCCAATACTAGTTTGTAACTGATAAATTATAAAGTACAAACATTCATTCGGTCCTTGACATATCTTCTACCATTTTTACTGTACAATAATGTATGGAAGTATATACTTTATAGAAATAAAAATACCGATGGATATGCATCTCGAAAATGTAATTTAACACGATATATTATTTATTTCAAATTTAATATTAAGTACAACGCATCATTTAACTGCACTTAATTGAGCGACGGGGGACGAATATTCAATACAAAATGTGTCTGCGTGTATGTTTTTTTAAATTGTTTGTTTTGTTTATAATAACGTAATGTTATTACGCATATAAAAATAATGTTTGACCTTTGTAGACCTCTACTAAATGTGCCGACGCAAATCGAGTTGGTTTTTAATGCCAACGTTGACGGATATGTTTTGTTAACTTATTTGTTWTAATTTTTCACTAATATTAGATAGATCTATTCACGTCATTCTTCATTCGGTATGTTATCAGTTTATTTAAATATGTCARTATGATAAGTTATTGTGATGTCCATGACAAATGTTTGTAATAATTGCCCAACAATGTTGTTATTTAATAAAACTTTAAGATATAATTTGTATAAATGATTGGAAGTATTATACTATTATGTAATAATTATTGATTTTTTTTGGCGAACATGATGTGAAAAGTTGATAAAAAAAWWTTTTATGAATTAAACTATATACATAGTTACTTTATTATTATTTTATCTACGAGAATGCTGATGGTTTAAAATACAAATAATTAAGATTCTAATTTAATTTAATTTAGTTATAGTTTAAAAATTTATAATTAATTTGTAAAGAGATCATTTGTTTTACTTATTGTATAATAACATACATACAAATAATGCAAACAAGTTRATCGTGGTGTTGGCCACTATCCATTGGGCCATTTGTGTTACTTTGATCACCTTGGCACAGAATACTGTTGCATTAGTACCTATTACCTGAAAGCAATACAAATCAACGATTCCTTAAATTATATTATCTTTAGTATTTTTATGGTTGTTGTTTTAAATAAAAACGAATAATAATAAATATGGTATAAATTAGCTAATATTTAATAAATGGAAATAACTCGCAAAACTTAAGATTTAATACTATATTATATTGGATATATTTTATAAAATGGATATTTATACATTCTACAAAATAAAAGAAACCATTATCAATACAATATATTTTATTATAGGCTTGGTGAGGCGCGGTCGTACGCTCAATCTGCGGAAACGCACTGAG